TGTCCATTTTCTGTATAATTATTAAGGTATGCAGGGGAACCTTACAGCGGTGACACTGGCTTACCAGTGTACGAATGGGCTAACAAAATCAAGAGTCCATTAGAAGTCATGGAGATACTCCTAAAACCTATGGATAGAGCCAAAGTTTGCGAAAAAGTTCCAAACTATGTGTCGAACAATGTGTGCTTTTTATTGGACCGAAATGAACTAAAAGCAGAGAGTGATTGGAAATGTGACGATATGGGGTCGTGGAGAAACAACGGAGTACAACGCCATCACTTCGGAATCCACGAGGGAGATATATTTCCACTTGGCAATGAAGAAGACATTCCAAACAAAGACCGCCATGTTCTGAAGCGAATGTATTTTAAGAACAGCAACTCAACCGACCTGAAAAAATTAGTTTCCTATGTAGAAGGTATGTTAAAGAACGGTATTTCAGAAAAGACACAACGAATAACCTAAAACTACAATATCATGAAGTATTTGGAGGTGTAATTTCTATAATTTATCCTCCTTTCTAGGTTTCCCACGGTGGATTTTCATTCAGTATGTTTTTGACCACAAAGAACATTCAGTCACACCTGTTCCCCATGGGAACAGCAAACGTAAGCACTCTACGCCTTATGTTCGGGTAGAAGAAAGTACAGTGTGCACACTTAAACATAAAGCGGCGTTGGAGACTCCAAAAAACGCGTATCATTCAGTTAATGAAGAACAAGGTGGTCTAAAAAACGCGGCATCAATTAGCGATCTACCCCGAAATCGAGCACAGGCGAAATATAGGAGACGCGGTTATACAGAAGCAAAAGACTTTAACCATATTGACTCCTTGCTAATCTTATTAGAGCAATGTAAGAGACAACAAATGCAAAATGACGAACAGGCGTTCATACGAGAAGTTATCGGAGCTCCAGAAATGCGATGCATTTTAGGGTTTGACTTTCAGTTTCAAGATGTGGCCACATTCTGCACCGATCCAACGAATTTCACGGTATTTGGGGCAGACCCAACATTTAATCTGGGCAAATTTAACGCAACAGTTACCTCCTTTACGAATCTGAAAGTGGTTAACCGAGACGGTGGTAATCATCCAACAATGATAGGCCCCATTCTTCTAAGCCAAACAAAATCATTTGACTCTTACAACCAATTTTTCAGCAAGATTGTAAGTCTCAACAAAGGGGCACGTGGAATTTTAGCATTTGGAACGGATGGCGAGGAGGAGCTGTTCAAAGCGATGAAGTATAACTTTCCTCATGCTATTCATCTGCGATGCTTTGGTCACTTTAGGGACAACTGTAAAGCACAACTCAGGTTATCCAATATCCCCGAACAAGCGCAGAAAGAAATCTTGTATGATATCTTTGGGCGAAGAATTGGAACAACTTGGGAGAAAGGTCCGCATTAAATATATTAGTATTTCATAATATTAAGAACAATATTTAATAAATTATGTTTCACTACATCATATAGCTAATGGAAACAAATGACTATTTGAGACGTAAAATGAACTGGATTGGCCTAGCAGTTCTCTGCTTTTTAACATTGAGTATTCTCTTGCTATAAATTCTTGTGACAGGCCTTCTAGACGCTGATGACAAAGAAGACCTAAAAGCAAAGTTACTGACAAGAAGAGAGGTCTGGAATACTGTCGAGCAGAAGTACCTTCCCAGCGGAGGAAAGGCCAAATTTTACCAGTACATCCTCGATAGGGTAAGTTACTTTATTAATTATTTATATTGCCTTCATTATTCTATTCTGACCCAGGCTTCGTGCGACGGCGAGTAGAAACTAGACATGACTGTAATTGCCTACAAATGTTTCATCTTCTTTGAACGTGTGGAAAATGCAATAGTAAACACGCATATACGCATACTGTATTGTCACAATCGTTGTTTGTACAGATTTCCGAAATGTCACAAAAATGGCGCTCGCGATATGTCAGTGTTGTCTTTTTCGCGCACATGGTTAACATTTACGCCTTAAAAGAGATAATTTCAAAACCTCACAAGATTTGTGAAACGCTTATTTAAAAATATATCATTTCATTTAAAATATAATTAATCATTACTTGCCAATAAATATAAACAGCCAAATCATGGAATAAAGTAACAAACAATGAAAAAAGAAAGTTAAACATGAGCAGAGGTGACAATGATATAAATTTGCAATAATGCAATTTTTTCTTTAAATATTAAAAACAGGTTGATATGATGAGTGAGAGCATGTTACCGGAGGTTCGTTTGAATGCAGGCTTGGGTGATCCTACTGTGCCATATTATACCAACGTGCCTGAGTCAGCAAATGCTCTCATTAAGCGCTCTGTTGGGTTCAAGCAAAACGAGATTGCTGACTTTTGTCGTGAGATGAGTATTTTGTTGGTACGGCAGAAGGAAGATGTCGAATCTGCCATAATCAATAAAGGCCCCTACCGGTTAACGTCAGATTTTATTAGCTTCGAGTTGACAGCCAAAGAATGGTTTGCTATGAGCGTAGAGAATAGAGATGCGTATCATAAAAAGTTTCACGCCGCAGGAATGTCACAACAATCAACGAGTAAAAGCATTCCATCACCACTCAGTACCAGTGTTAACAACACATCTTTGGGACAATCAAAAATTGTCCAACTTTCCGCCGACCTTACAACCTCCACTATACCTTCTTTGCCACAAGCCGTTTTGGATTCCATCGCCGATAAAGCTCTAAAACTCTTGAACAAGGAAGGTTCGATCGTTGTCGCACCTGGGGCATCTGACAAAACCGCGTTTTTAGTAGAAAGCAACACGTCAAAAAAACCGCATTACGTCCCATTATCCAAGAATGGCAAAGTAACATGCGATGATTGCCCGGGCTGGAAATCGGCCAAGATTTGCGCTCATTCAGTGGCCGCAGCGGAGACGGCAGGGGCAACAGTACGTTATCTGAAGTGGCATCGCGAAAAAGGCCCTTCTTCAATGAATGTGACCGCTTACGTCACGTTCGATAGTAACAGTGGGACTGGACGAAAGGGTGGGAAAGCGTCAACTGCGCGAAGAAAGGGTGGCAGAACAGGTAACCAAGCCAAGGCGACAGAAATCGTCGTTGATCGACCATTCAACAGCTTTTCAAATGCAGCATCTCTATGTAAGAATGTTCCAACAACAGCCCAAGTCCAGTCGGTACAAGCTCCACAAGCATGGATTGTCCAGCAAAATCCACAACAAGCGCGAAGTCTTTCCACAACTGTCCAAGTGCAACCATCACAACCTTTGCGACCATTGACAGGTATGTTCCACCATGCAACGCCAAATCCAACTCAAGCGCAGACTACCACATCAACTACGCAAGTGCCATCGATACAAGTCCTTCAAGGATCTACATGTGGCCCTAAACTACCAAATCCAAGAATAGGCGAATTCGTCATCTATTTGTTACAATTTTGCCACCCTATTGTCCGTTCCTGCCATGGCTGTTCTCAACCTTTAAAGCCTGGTGGTTATATTGGCACCCCGCCGTACGATTTGGTCATTGTGTCCAGAATGAATAGAGCATATCGTGTTTCACCGAATAGCGAATTGTCCTTTCGAGAGGGCAACGTCTATTTCCACGTTCATAAGGATTGTATCGTAGCAAGACAACCTTACTTCCATCCAGAAATTACCTCTGTTCCACGCTGGCTTGTCCAATACCTAAAACCAGAACATTTTCAAGCTTTATCAACATTTGGAATCCACATTCCGTGATTCTCTTCATCCCAGGGAGTAAACCTTATTAGCATTTTGGATCTTTAATGTTACTATTGTAGTTTGTATATAAAGGTAAACTTGCACCAGACACAAATACTTAAATTTCATTTTTTTGCCTTAGCGAACCTTTGGGTTACAGGGAATTCATGAACATGATGAATTTTATATTAGTTTTAAAACAATAGTTCATCGGGTCTAATTCCCGCGATAATTTTTAGCTGAGAAATATTTTGGAAATTTTCTCAAGTATAATATGATTAAATGTTTCGCGTTAAAATTATCACGCAAATTTGGACTGCCTATGGTCTCACGATCAGAATCGCCACTTTTGTTTTTACTGAGGCGATTAGTGCAACAGGTTACACGCGGCCATTTGCTCAGGCTATGCTACTATACCTCCAGTATATGGAACTTGAGATGCAATTTAAATATGTTACAAGTAGAAGTAGAAATAGAAGTAGAAAATATCGTAAGTTAAAAAGCGAACTCACCTGCTTTAACGAATGTTCTGCGAGCAAACTCACGCAAAGCATTAGTTCACAACTTGCCGTCTTATTACGTATTTTTATCATCATTAATGCCTTGACTGACATCTGTCCATTTCTGGCGAACTCGCTCGAAAGAACCAGACATCGATGGACAGAAATGCCTTTACAAATCCGCTGATTCTCTTGCACGAAATCGAAAACAGGCGCGACACATCCGCATTTTTCCATCCGCGTTTTATCCCCTCATCCGCATTTTCCCATCCGCGTTTTATCCCCTCATCCGCATTTTCCCATCCGCGTTTTATCCCCTCATCCGCATTTTCCCATCCGCGTTTTATCCCCTCATCCGCATTTTCCCATCCGCGTTTTATCCCCTCATCCGCATTTTTCCATCCGCGTTTTATCCCCTCATCCGCATTTTTCCATCCGCGTTTTATCCCCTCATCCGCATTTTTCCATCCGCATTTTATCCCCTCATCCGCATTTTCCCATCCGCATTTTCCCATCCGCATCCGCCATCCGCAATCCGTATCCGCATTTTATCCCTACCCCACTGAGTTAAATAATTGCGAAAGACAGTGGAGATTCCTATCCTTCCCACGCTTCTGGATCGATATTTCCACACACAATTTCCTTGAGTGCAGACAATACAATAACCTATATCGTAAAATGCCATAGCTTATTTCTGCTCAGGCTTAAGCTTAAGGTTATATTTCAAACGGCAAACGGTAGGCGAGGATTTTATGTCATCCAGACTATAAACGCAGTCCTTTTTTAAGGACTCCAGGCACAATCAATGTTTTCACATGAAAAATAAATTATTAAACGAAGAATCAAAAAATTGGAAACATACATTTTTTTCTATAGGCGGTTTAAAGGCGAAAGGTTGAAACAAATAGGGTCTACTATTATTTCAACACGTAAACAAACCCGTGAATTAGTTCACGCTTCATAAATGAGCGCAAACAGTCGTGACTGTTTGATTACTGCTTATTATCTAAACAGCATCACAATTCTTAAACATTGGGCAATTGAACTCTTTTTTCAGACGTTAAATCATTCGCGAAACATTTTTGTGCTCTCTCAAAACATTTTATACGAAGTATATTAACTTGTTATATTTGTAATTTCCCGTATATGTAAAAATTGTTAAAAGAGACAAGCTTGGCCTATAGAGATTAATTATAAATAACCTTATGGTACAGTATATATCCAGGCTACTTATACTATAAATGTTACATTCAACTCATTTTCGTAGACGTAGAATAAGAAATTAACAGAAAAACAACTTTGTCGAGATTGTTTAAGTTTATCGCATGCATTGTGCGGAAAACCACTATTATACTCTCCCATTTTCCCGGGTAATTTCTGACCAGTAAACAACATTACTGAGATACGACCCACCACTGAGTTACTTTTCTGTCAATTTTCTACTCTGTGACATCTCCAACAACCATTTCGAATTAAATTCTAAAATCATTGTACACAACCATATATAGGACATGTATCTACGTAGAATATTGTCCTTATACGCATATTTAGACTCCTATTGGTCCTTGATGGTCCCTTGGATCGTACGGCCTCTGTGGTTTCAATGGCACTAAACTTGGCACTAAAGATAAAGATGCATCTAATTAACAATTAACCGCCGCATGCGACGCGAATATCGCTGAATTAGAGCCGAGACGAAGTGATAGTATAGCTATAATTACAAAGGTAGTTAATAAAAAACAATCTTTTGCAGAAAATCATTTTTACTAACTTAAGGTAATAATCACATCAAAATTTTTTCGGTCGTTTTTTTCCCGCTGCCATGAAAAGTGATCAAATGTCAAAATGTTTATGCATAATTATGGAATAGTCGAAAATAGAATAGCCTCAGCCGGATGTATGTATGACATAACAGATAAGATTTATGTCGTAAGTACATGACATAACCGAATCGCGAGGAACGAGTTTTCTATAGAAACGTAGCTAATAATTAGTAGTTTTTTATGACGGTTTTTTTATAACTTGAATTCCTCCCGGAGAAAGGTTGAAGACTTTCCTTTAGAGAAGCCCTTCGCCACTGGAATATAGTCGGCCAAGGAAATATATTAAACTAACAAATTAGCTTCAAAGTTTTATTAGATATAATGTACGGAAAATAAAGAAAATGCGTTTTTCGTTTCGCCTGCAACCGCTTAAAGTTTTCCGCATTATATACGAACATACCTATATAAACAATGATATACAATGAAACAATAGAATAAGCAAATAAATAACTTTCGGATTAAATGCCATCTGGTAGTCTTACCATATCCCAAGCCTTGGAGAAACAATCTGAATGCGCCAGCCATCTTGGCTGGTTGCTCCTCCAGCGGAGTTCCACCGCAGTCACTGACCTCCATCAAAGATGAACAGGTCGGATCCATATGAGAATTTGTTAATAACACCTCTTCGAGATGAGGAGAATAATCGCCAGCGACCAGTAAGACCTTAGGAAATAAGAAATCACCATATAAAATCATATAAAATCCTTTCAACGTAAATTACTAACGAGTATATGATCTATACGCGAAGGAGGTAATACGATAACATCAGAACATTGTTCACTAGCTAGGGCTTGCACTGTCTGCGATTGGGTCAATCTTATTATTGAGACCTTAATTGTCTATAACCTGTGCATACGAAAACGTTGATTATAGGCAGGTGTTGACTAAATCAGGGATGTTCACGTGGCATCCGTGATCCGTCATTATACAGTGGCGTAACTAGAACGATAATTGGGGGGGGGGGTGGGGCTTTAAATATTCATATATCCAGTTCTGAATATATGACTATTCATCCCCCCCCCTACTTACGCCCCTGCCGCGGTTTCACCTTAGCGGTTTCACGTTGCCGTTGTTGCAAATTTGACGTTTATTTAGCAGTCATTCACCTATACCTTGTTAGAACGATTCAAAATTGGAATATCCAATATGTCTGCTAGGAATGTTTATACGTGAAACGAGACACTATTGATTGCACCGACAAAACGCTAGGTAAATGAACTACGTGAAAATACATCCAGCGCCAGCGTATAAAACCCTGAACCTTAACGATCTCAGGCTAGTTCTATAAAAAATAGCGGGCTTTTCCCCTAGTGGACTGTTTCATAGCTAGAAGCCATAAACAGTGAAACACCAATTGCACGGAAAAGCTTAAAACCCGTATTTTTGTTATTGTTATACATCATGGATCATAAACTATAAATACAAATCGTGAAATGGTGCATGAATTTCAAACCTGGCATTTCAATGAAGGGATATTCGATGCTTCGCCTGGCAAAGGTCGTCTCATGTTGATTTCACTTCGCCTACTGAAGGACTCCACAAACAAACCAAGATTGAAATTATTGAAAGCCGTCTCCAGGCTCTTGCGGTAGGACGCGACCAAGTCACGATTTTCCTCTGTCGATCTTTTACCAAAATGATGCCAAACAAGGTAGTCTTCTGTGAATGCTGTCATGCCTTTACTTTTCAGCTGATGAGAAGATATCTATTAAATAGCAGGCAAATTGATCACATTTTGGCGAAAGATCTTAAATCTCGATGGCAAACGGGCCAAGTTAACCAAGAATTCACTGTCAATATACGGATAAAAATTGATCGTTTTTGAACCAATTGAATTGATATTGCATTTTACCTCCTGTTTGTCGGCTAAATAGATGGAAACAGTGGTGCTAAAATAGGGCAGTGGGGCCAAGCCTATAAAAGGGCAGGGGTGACCCCTTTCTAGTTTCATTTCAGTAAGAGTACTTCGGCGAGCAAAAATATTTTTCCGTTTATGGAACATCATAGAGAACTTTATCAGTGACAACTACGAGGTATTGTCATTTTCGCGCCAAACTTAGTGCTGCTTAGGGCGGATTTTCTTAGCCGTAATTGCCCTAAACATGTTACGTTGGTTTATGTGTTAAAGTAATGCTACCCGTATAAAGGCCATGTTACACGGTGCAATTTTTCTTGCAACTTGCAATGCAATTCCACTTTTACGAGATGTTAATTAGTGAAGAGTCTTCAAAATGTTAAGTGTAAGAAACACCATGGAATGTAATAAGGACAAAAGTTTGGTGGTTGCCAAATTTACATCTCTCAAAAGAAGAATTGCATTGCAAGTCGCAGGAAAAATGCACTGTGTAACAGGGCCTTAAGGCAACTGCGACTGGCAAGTGTTGGTTGCGTGATATTCCCGTCATATTACGTCATTGCTTTCATGCCCTTCGCTATGCGACCTATCCCGCCAATGTTTTAGTTTTATCCCTTAACAAATGTGATGGCGTGTGCATGATTTAAGAATTTGAGAGCACGAAAACTAACTCTAGTTGTACTTTTGGTAGTTTACGTACTCTGTACCGTAGCTGGAGCCTCTTATTATTGCCAAAATTTCCAAACGCCTACCTCGACGCCTACGGTGACAGAAACATGAATTCACGACATCTGCCCGTGTTTTCCAAACAGGCAAATATTTTACGAACAACCTACTTGTGAGGCCGGGCTTAAGTTTTCATATGACGACGATTTATTGTCTGCAATCAATCAAACATTGTCACCGACAATTGGAGTATTGGACACGCCAACGCCGGCGTTATTTGAAAACCAGGCTTAATTGTAAGGGGAAACACAGCCTAATATCTCAAAATATCCGTATGGAGAATTCGCATTGACAAACACCTTTTATATCCTTGTTGACTTTGAATGTCCCATAAAATACGAATGATGTTTGAAATATTCATTTAATATATTTTAAACGAATTCTTCAGGCAGCTGCTAAAAATTGAAATGACATGTTGATATTTATATATCAGCATCATGAGGTATTGGCCTTTCTACAATCAAGTAGCATTTAAAGCAGTATGGAATATTTTTTAAAAAATAACTTTATAAACACGCTAATTCGCATCCGTTCTTTAATATAACCTCGTTTATTAAGGAAGGCAGTTCACCTGTTGTCTTCAACAACATGTCAATTGGATATATATTATATAAAATAAGGCAATACGACAGTTTCCTTGACTTAGTGTCTGTGGTTTTATAGCGAGGATGTATAAAAATCTTCACATAAATTGCTATTTTTGGTATACAGTCAACTGAATTTACATATTGTTATGCGCTTCGCGATTATATTATATTGTTTATTCATTTTCCGTTTTCGTATCAATGACAACGGATATTGAATATTCCATAGAAAGCCAATATAAAACTTAATACATTTCACTCAAAAACATTGCTAGTTCATTCCCACGTAAGCAGAGTGCAACAGAAGAAGAAATTCATATACTTTCTTTTTCTGGCATTATTTGAAACACAAAACATGCAGGGCCACCTATAGAACCAAATAGCTAAAACTGTATATATGCATAAGACACTGAAAACTACTGTCTGAACATAGTGTACTTAAATGCTTGTGATCATAAAATAAACTTACTGTAAAAATGATCAATCGCCATTTTTTGCGGTTATTTTAGTTCATAGAGCATTAAATAAATAAAGGATATTAAAATAGCAAACAATTGCAATAACTATCTCACTGCCTGCTTATAACCAATGAGAATTGCACAAATAGCAACAGCAGAGCTTCGGGCATTTTGCACAGTCATGTTGCACGCCCACTGAGCTAACAGAGCTAGCCTTGTCGCTGGGTAGTAAACAACAAATATAAAAACCTAACCAAAATTAGTTGCAAAAATTCTAATACAAATAAATTATCAGCTTCATCCGCATCTGAAATCTAGCCTGTCTTATGCACCTTGAAGTCCATAAGAAACACTGGAGGTCTCCCATCATTAGCCTTCTTAGCCCTGAGATAAATCACCCAACATATCCTCCCTTGTTTTAGAAGCCCTGTCCAACCTCACCCACTGAATACAAACTTGGTTCAAATCCTTCCCAATTTTTGCACCTGTAAGGATAGTTCTATGTTTCTAATCTTTCAGCTAAGGGGTAAACATTTGTTTAATAAGACCAGGTTGCAAGTGTAGGTACAGTGTAGGTTTGTCAAAACCTCAGTGTCAACTAAACTTTTGGATAAATGACAGATCTTACAATATATTATTATTTTCATTTCAATGTACATAACACTGTCAACAGTAACCTTGGCACATATTGAATTCTTACTTAAACAAAAGTTCATACTATTTGTTAAATGACATTTTAAAACATAATAGTCTTCTTTATAAGTTTGCTTTAAGGAAGAAATATCCAATGCAGGCAAAATACCTGTATATCATACATGCACAAGCAATTGAGAGCAAATGAAAGTTAAATTAAAGGCTTCAGCCTTACCAGAAAATGTACATGTCTGTCAGTGTTTAAACACTTCTACTGCAGAACCTAAAGCATTTAGTCTAGAGATATAAATTCTACACAGTGGTGATCGAGAGCCTGAGTCCAGTCAATAATTTTTCTTAAATTACGATAATTAACAATAAATGATATCTTGTAAGACGGATATTGGACATGTTCATTTGAACTTGCTTAGATATAGTAATGCCTCCCATTGATTTCTGGTTAATTCTCATCAGATATTGAAGTTTAATAAGAAGTGCTTTTTCTGAACCAAAGATGGCAAAGAGAGGGCCAACAATAATGGAATGTCTCAAAAAAATGAGAGAAATTGAGATTTACGGTTATATGTGTGAAACGAAAAGTTGGAAACGTTTTGTGAAATCTATGGCCCGAGGCATTACTATCATAAAATACGCAAGTTCAAATCAACATATCCAATCTCCAACTCACAAGATATCATTTATTGCAAATTATCGTAATATAAGAAAAATTATCGACTGGACTCAGACTTTTGATCACCACTGTATGTCATATAAATAACACACTTTCACTAACACTAAATATAACACTTTCACATGGTAGTTTGCATGCATATTCATCTTACTGACTGTGTATGCGAATCCAGAATAATATTCATTGTGTATAACAGTTGCTTTGAAAGTGAAAAACCTGCACATAAATTTATGTTTCTTATTCAACTTTGTACCACGGTATTTTAAAATTCAAGATGGTTTGATCTGTCCAAACTCGCTTCAATTTCTTTCTATTGTCAATTGGATGCAGTTTTTATAGAAAGTAATATGCCCCATTTAAACTTTCTTAATACTTTTGATCTGTTTTACAATTCACTGCATCTAAAATGCATTGAATACAAATATACAATGGATGCATGATCAGAAAAGTGAAATACTCTATTATCTTTTGCCTCTAAGAGATTTAACAAAAGCAACTTTTGTTCTGGCCTTAGAAGCTAGGTTACTTATGAAGGAAAGTTAAACTAAATTGAGAACATTAAGAACCAAGAATTTAGCTCTCAATGGAACTTTGCCAGTATATGCACAACCAACTGACACTAAATCACAGGCCCTAATAACCACCAATGCCTATTAATTAAAACCGAACAGAATAAAAGCAGTGTAGTTTGGAGTTGGAAATTAAGTTGAAATAAATAAAATACTCTCGATGGCATAGAAAAAAAGTTAAATCGCTTCAAGCCTTCAATGGATCTATTCTGTATCAACATTAAAATATTCCTATTTGTCAACATTTAATTGATATTACTACCAATGTATCATGGTCAGTTCTGATATCAGTTGGTTGTTCGATTTCAAACCGGATTAAATTAGTTGGTATATATTGAACAGTGTATCACGGTACCTTCTCGTAGCCCCATTCGACCCAGCCACTTTTCCCCGAGAAGCAATTGATAAGCATCAAACCGTCGACCAATTTCGGATATTTCAAGCCATATCGACAAAGAATGCTAGCTCCAGCGCCAATGCCCAGTCCCACGAAAGATTTCAATTTAAAATGCGCCACTACGTCCGAGATCATTTCGGCCAGGTCGTCCATGGTGGGATACTGAAATGTTTCGGGAAATTGTGAGGCCCCTTCTTGCTGGCCTGGCGCGTCAATATGATAGATTGTGAAATACTGCAATATGGGCGCCATTTCGCCGCAGTTGAGAAAGCTCTGAAAGGCAGAGACATGATTCTGTCCGATATCGTGAAATGTTATTATGGCCGGTTTGCCTTCGGTACCATGTAATGTCACATGTATTTTGCCGTGGTTTGTGTCGACTTCAGCCTTGCGAATGAAAGCTTTCTCTTCGGGCGAATGGAAATTCTGCCCGTCGCCTTGGTCAAGGAGTTTGATATTCTGCAACTGTAGTTCTTCCATCGAATTTTCGTCCTCTTGCCTTGCGACTTCGATATAACCAACTCGGACGAAGTTCGATGCGGTTGGCTGATCTGATCGGTAAATTTCCGCTTTCGCCAACATATTAATAAACAACTTTCCTAAGTTAATATTTAAATTTTGGCGAGAGGAGTTGAAGTGCTGCAATACCACCTGACACCATGTATGATGTAATTCGCGATTCGAACCGTCTCGCGTGGATCCCACGTGAATATTGTTCGGTCGGAGGATAATATCACAGTTTAATAAGGTGGCTGCTAGAATTTGCGCAATGAGAGACAGACGAGCAGCAAATATTAATTTATATTATTCGTCTGTGTCTCAGGGCAATCTCGATCGTGATTTAGCTAAGTTGCTTATGATTTAGCTAGCTGGACTAGAAATACATGCATGCAGCACACCTCGCCATTTCCAACCAATAAAATAATTCCTGGGCCTTAAATATCAGGCGCCATTGTGGAAGTCTGTAGGAAGCGATATGATGCAATTATGACATATTAAATGTGTCTCTAATACTCACCTGATTTTTCTTGTATAAGGCCTGTTTCCACTAAATATAGTCTTTATTCTTTTATAAAATGTCGCAATGGTACGCATAAGCTAAGGTGTATTTCTATTTATGTAATCTGACTTTTTATTATAATATGTATTCATATTAAGGTGGTTCCCTACAGTTTTAAGAATATTGAAAACTTTTGGTTTTGATTTAAAATTTTAGCACGAGATTTCTTGGTAAGGAAAAGAAATTTCCCAGATATATTAACCAACATTCTAACAGTCAGAAATTGCCGATAAGCATGACGTCATTACCGTTGTTATGGTAACAATGGCGATTCAATATGGCCGCCATTTTGCCTATTAACGCATTTTACTCGAAAACAAGTTCGGTTACCCCAATTTTTTATTTTATAAAAAGTTTTCTTACAAAAAAATGGAAAATTTGAGCAAGTTTAAAAAAATTCAATAGAGCCAAAAAATCTCTATAACGAAAAATCACGTTTTTTAATTTTTAATAAATTTGGCTGTATAGAATTTTTTTTAACTGGTTCAAATTTTCAATTTTTTTGTAAGAAAACGTTTCATAAAATAAAAAATTGGGGTAACCGAACTTGTTTTCGAGTAAAATGCGTCAATAGGTAAAATGTCGGCCATATTGAATCGCTATTGTTACCATAACAACGGTAATGACGTCATGCTTATGGGCAATTTCTGACTGTTAGAATGTTGGTTTATATATTTGGGAAATTTCTTTTCCTTAGCAAGAAATCTCGTGCTAAAATTTTAAATCAAAACCACAAGTTTTCAATATTTTAAAAAATTGTAGGGAGCCACCTGTAACGTATTGTTAATATGCAATATCTAATGTTAGGCTAACTTTTAAGGTCCGAACATCATAATACACAATTAAACTAAAGTGAAGTGCACTGAAAAAAATTGCGGCGCCTGCGATGATATGTCAGCAGTTAATTTAAGGAAAGGGATACTTTATGTGAAGCAACACAATAGTGGCCTACTGTGGTAAAATAATCATCTGTAGTTACCGTACGTATTCCATATATGGCAGTGATTGCACAATATATATTTATTATGCAAGAGCAAATACATGACGCTCAGTGTTGCCAAGTTCGGGATTTTATCCCGAGATCTCGGGATTTTTTGAAGCAGTTGGGATTTTTTTGGGATTTATTTCTCAAATGGTAATCTCGGGATTTTTTTAGGGATTTTTGGGAGAGGGAAGTTTGGAATTTGGGAAAAAATGTTTTCGTTAAATTGATAAATAAACATATTAAAAATCCAAGGTATTGAAATAATATATAGCGTAAATTAATACTTGCGGCAAAAACGTTACTTAAAGTCACTCAATAAAGACTATTTGTACAATCGGTTATGCAGAGAAGTACCGCTTTATAAACGCACACTGAGCGGACCTGGTACTAGGGTGCGCCAAAGCTGAGGACTGGGGTCGAAATTAGAATCTCGGGATTTTAGGGGGAATCTCGGGATATTTCAGGCGGTTACTTGGGATTTTTACAAAATTACAGTTGGCAACACTGATGACGCTGAACAACAAATACATGACGCTGAAGAGCAAATACATGACGCGTGCTTGGTCTTGGGTCCAAGCTTCCCACTTCGCGGATGTACAAGATGGCGGCTAAAGGCATGGAGTTTTGTTTAGTTTGGTGACTAAAACCTTTGTATGTTTGTGTATATTCAATATATATGACAAGATATTTATAATCTTAAAGGTAGGAACGGCTTAGAACCAAATCTGTATTATATTTATTGTACTGATTGAAAAATAAATATTGCATTACTAATTTTTATTAGGCTAGTCAACTTCAGCAAATGCAATAGCAAAATATTTGGTTTCAAACACAAAAGCTTTTAGTAGTTTATTACTGAGTAATCTACAGTGTGAAGCTGTCTATAAGATTTAATATCCTTTGATATTTCTTACTGCAAATCCATCCTGGACTAAAATCCATTAAATAGAAGAGACGTATTTTATTATACAGTGCTGGAGCGATTGCAGAATACCCCGCAATTTTTCAAGCCACGCTTTTTAAATATCACGGATACGTGGATACGCAGTCGTTTAAGATTTTAAAGAACGATGCATACAGTTGGTTTAAAGAGATCAGGTTCTCAAGCTAGATGAGGCTTTATTTTTTAGTGGATACGCGGATACGTGGATAAGCAGTCGTTTAAGATTTTAAAGAACGAGGCATACAGTTAGTTTAAAGAGATCAGATTCTCAAGCTAGATGAGGCTTTATTTTTTAGTGGATACGCGGATACGTGGATACGCAGTCGTTTAAGATTTTAAAGAACGATGCATACAGTTTGTTTACAGAGATCAGAGTCTCAAGCTAGAGGTAGCTTTATTTTTTAGTGGATACGCGGATACGTGGATACGCAGTCGTTTAAGATTTTAAAGAACGAGGCATACAGTTAGTTTTAAGAGATCAGATTCTCAAGCTAGATGAGGCTTTATTTTTTAGTGGATACGCGGATACGTGGATACGCAGTCGTTTAAGATTTTAAAGAACGAGGCATACAGTTAGTTTAAAGAGATCAGATTCTCAAGCTAGATGAGGCTTTATTTTTTAGTGGATACGCGGATACGTGGATACGCAGTCGTTTAAGATTTTAAAGAACGATGCATACAGTTAGTTTAAAGAGATCAGATTCTCAAGCTAGAGGTAGCTTTATTTTTAGTGGATACGCGGATACGTGGATACGCAGTCGTTTAAGATTTTAAAGAACGATGCATACAGTTTTTTTAAGAGATCAGGTTCTCAAGCTAGATGAGGCTTTATTTTTTAGTGGATACGCGGATACGTGGATACGCAGTCGTTTAAGATTTTAAAGAACGATGCATACAGTTAGTTTAAAGAGATCAGATTCTCAAGCTAGATGAGGCTTTATTTTTTAGTGGATACGCGGATACGTGGATACGCAGTCGTTTAAGATTTTAAAGAACGATGCATACAGTTTGTTTTAAGAGATCAGGTTCTCAAGCTAGATGAGGCTTTATTTTTTAGTGGATACGCGGATACGTGGATACGCAGTCGTTTAAGATTTTAAAGAACGATGCATACAGTTAGTTTAAAGAGATCAGATTCTCAAGCTAGATGAGGCTTTATTTTTTAGTGGATACGCGGATACGTGGATACGCAGTCGTTTAAGATTTTAAAGAACGATGCATACAGTTAGTTTTAAGAGATCAGATTCTCAAGCTAGATGAGGCTTTATTTTTTAGTGGATACGCGGATACGTGGATACGCAGTCGTTTAAGATTTTAAAGAACGAGGCATACAGTTAGTTTAAAGAGATCAGATTCTCAAGCTAGATGAGGCTTTATTTTTTAGTGGATACGCGGATACGTGGATACGCAGTCGTTTAAGATTTTAAAGAACGATGCATACAGTTAGTTTAAAGAGATCAGATTCTCAAGCTAGAGGTAGCTTTATTTTTTAGTGGATACGCGGATACGTGGATACGCAGTCGTTTAAGATTTTAAAGAACGATGCATACAGTTTGTTTTAAGAGATCAGGTTCTCAAGCTAGATGAGGCTTTATTTTTTAGTGGATACGCGGATACGTGGATACGCAGTCGTTTAAGATTTTAAAGAACGATGCATACAGTTAGTTTAAAGAGATCAGATTCTCAAGCTAGAGGTAGTTTTATTTTTTAGTGGATACGCGGATACGTGGATACGCAGTCGTTTAAGATTTTAAAGAACGATGCATACAGTTAGTTTAAAGAGATCAGGTTCTCAAGCTAGATGAGGCTTTATTTTTTAGTGGATACGCGGATACGTGGATACGCAGTCGTTTAAGATTTTAAAGAACGATGCATACAGTTAGTTTAAAGAGATCAGATTCTCAAGCTAGAGGTCAGTTTTATTTTTTAGTGGATACGCGGATACGTGGATACGCAGTCGTTTAAGATTTTAAAGAACGAGGCATAAGTTAATAAGACAGGAGAAATGTATGATGTAAGATAAATGTAGGTGTTAGTTTTGTGAGGATGGATTTTTTGAATTGTGACAGCTATTCGAAAAAATAGTTTTATTCAGTTGACATTAACTTCAATAAATATGTTTTCTTGGACGGCAGTGATCGCAAGCATGCATGAAGTGGCTCTATTCAAATGACTGATAACTGAAATAGATTAGAATAATGAGTAGCCGATAATTTTGTTATAAATAATAGCAATTCAACAAATTGTTCATCAACCAATTTAAAATGTTTAATGTAATAATATAATATCAGGTCAAGGTGACAACAAGTAACTGACGAATATATGTAATGAAAATATTTTTAATGTTTCTAACTAGCTAAAAAATTTATGTTAATGTCTTAGCACACATCTATGCGCACATTTTCCAAATCTACATGTTCAGTTGTTCCTCGGTCAAAATGTTTTGTTGGCGAAGCAATCTACGTATGCTTGGCGATATAGCCTTGTGACATGGTCGATGGTAGCTGTTTTCGTATTCTTCTCTTTTGCACAAAATTTCACTGGGCCATTCTTCGAATTGATTTGGTGCTTTCTTGACAAACAGACTCGCCGTTTTTGATGACCTAGCAACTCTGACATTAAT